TCATAAGTAAAAGGCGAGTTGCTGCCTGCGGGCATCAGCTGCCATCGAACGGCATGTGATGCGACTCAAGCCTTCATTCTGTGCAGACTTCAAAGCTGCACAGTAGACCTGATGGCGGTCCAGCAATGATTGAAATTGGTGATGACCAGCTGAGCTTAACATGACTTGGCACAAGACTGACTTGAAACTTGGTAAATTCCCTCCCTTGTGTAATCAGCGCGCCAAGCCACGCAATGGAGCTTTTTGGCCAAATCCACCTGATTCTGCTCGGCCACAGACACCTTTTTCTTCACAACGGCCTTGGCCTTGGCCTTGGCTTTTGCCTTAGCCTTCGGCCCCGCTTTCTTCACATTGTTTGTGGCCTCCTTGGACCCAGTAGCTTTCTTGGACTTTGCTGCAGCTCTTTTTGGCGTCACCTTTGTTTTTGGCGTTGCCTTCAGGGCTGCGCTCGCAGGCTCAACCACAGGTGGGGTTCCACAGGCGTCAGGCTTCTCAGGCTTAACCACAGGTGGGCTTCCACAGGCGTCAGGCTTCTCAGGCTCAGTTCCACAGGCGTCAGGCTTCTCAGGCTCACCGATCACTAAGCAGGTATCAGGCAGCTCAGGCAGCTCAGGCAGCTCAGGCAAGGGGAGTGCGCCGGTGACAATCTGTCTCATGTAGAACAGCTCCAGTTTCAACTTGTCACAGGTAACAGGGGAAGTCCTCAGCACATCCATTTCATAGGTGATGTACTCCCTCTGCCTCTTCTCCAGAAGCTCCGCATCCAAACTCGTCTCTGCCTTGTCCATGCCATCCTGTGTCTCATATGCCAGCGTGTCTCCAGCAGCTTTATGTTCTCGGTCAGCATTTGCTTCAGCGGTATCATCCTTGCCGGTGATGTTCTCGGAGTTCAGGGTCTGGTGCGAGGGATGCATGAGCCGATGAATTTGGCTAAGGGCATTGTCAATGGCATTCTTTGTGGCTAATACCATCTCAGTGGATACCCAACCATCCTCATGCATCAAGCAAGCCTCATCCAAATCCACCGCCGTGGCAGCTGCGCTGTTGTGCATGAAGTTGAGCAACTCTGCATCATTCATTCCCAAAGAGTCAGTATTGCCAGCCTCCGCCGGGTGGAGGGACACATGCACAAGCGTGGAAAAAATGATAAGGCAAGAGTTCTCTCATATGTTTATGATTCATGATTGTCAAGTCACCCATTGATGTGAAATCAGAAACACAAATTTCCACTAGGTGATTTCTTAGCTACCGTATGGCGTGGAAGGGCGTGACATCAACTGATTTGATACTCAAGAGATACCCAAAGCTCTGGTACAAATAGATTAAAAGATAGAGCCCCTTGGCACCAGCTTTGATTGACCGGGATGTCGCCATCGGTTATCAAGATCTCACACCGCATTTTGAAATCAAGGGACTGATTGTTTATTTTACGCATAGTATTTGAACCAAAAGCTGTCTAAAAATGCCGGGAATGCCAGGCCTCAATTTCTGTTGGAGGAACTGCAGGGCTGTCAACCACCAAAGTATCCTCAGGAACTGATGATAAATAAACATCATGAATGGCATGGTATTTAATGCGTTCATAGTTTTCACTTAGTTGTTGGATATCCCGCATAAGATGATCCTAAGTTTATGGCAATCGAGCTCCCAGACAATAAGGCAACCATCATTAAAAATGATGCAATTATCCATCAAAGTAACCATGATGTCGTGATAATGAATTAGGATAAGAACTCATAATGCACCAGTGGCAACATGGTAACTAACCAGGAACCAATGGTAGATGTTCCCTTCCCAACGCAGCTTGGGCGCGGGGAGCTGAGGAGAACTTCCACCATCCATATCCACGCACTTCGCTGCGAAGTGTTCTTCAAGGTGCTTCTTCTGACCGCATTGGGAAGGAAGGGATGGATCTAAGGTTCATATCATGAGAAAGTGCCATTCACGACAATTTAAATTGATGATATCAATTTATGATCCAAGGTTCGTATCGATCATCGGGTGGAGTGTAGAGACCCTCTTGGTTGTCCGGGTATTGTTCTTCTTGCATGATCTCAAAAGATTCTGGTGCTGGCACCGGCAACCTCGCAACAACATGATAGATGAATCATGATGTACCATCGTCAAGATTATGCCTTAAAATACGCAGTATCATGTTTTTCAAAACCAAGATACGCTGCATCACCATCTTCAGCAGGGCCATAACTTGCCTCCTGAATGCTGAGCAGGAAAATATCATTTATAATTTATAAGTAAAAGTCTTGCGGTACCATGAGTGCAAGTTGGCAGTTCAATATGTTTTGATTGATTTGTTGGGCTCCTTCTTTTTACGGCTCTGCTTAGCGGCTGGTCTTTTCTTAGCAGCAGTAGCAGGCTTCTTTGCAACCTTCAAATCTTTGGGGACCCCATCATCATCGGTGTCACCAAGTAGACCACCAGAAGTTCCATCCGCTTCATCATCATCACTCGGATCAGTCCCACCAAGAGGGCGGTGGTCAGCATCACTTTCCGGGGATTCTTCGGTAGCTTTTCTTTTGCTAGCAGGTTTCTTCAAGACATTTGTTTTGGGGGCAACCTCACCCTTGCTACACACTGATGAAGACTCTGAAGCCGCAAACCGGGCAGGTAGAGCATGATGAGCCATGTCCATGCCTCGCAAAGATCCAGAACGAATCAAAGACTTAGATGGGAAGCACATGTCTAACTTGTATGTTTCCAAACTTTTGTAATCTTTTGTACATTATTGATTCCAAAATGAAACAAAATCACGGTTTGGAGTGGTAAACTATTATTGATCAATGTTGACCGATTCCCCAACCCGTTTTTGAGCCTGCATTCATTGGCGCTGCATTCGCAGTCGTGGCAGGTGGGCCAGAAGACTTTGCAGAAGCAGGCGGGGCAGGCGAAGAAAGCCGGGGCGGAGTAATTGATGATGCTCCTGATGATCCCATAGTTGATGAAGACATCATTCGGCGCATATCAAATGCCTCGGTGACTAATGAGGCAATGTTTTTTTTAACGATATGTTTGGCACGATTCAACTACTGTGTTTGTTTCTTTTCAACATAGACTTCAGATGAGATGCTGGAGGGCGGAAAGTGGTGGTCAGTGGAACTTCTTCAACACCACTATCTTCATCATCATGCTTTGGCATGCTCATGGCAGACACGATACTGCAACCCCAAAGGGACAAAATCAGGAAATTGATCCACAAATTTCTAAGGGCCATCATGGTTTTGCCATGAGACATCAGTAGTTGTGATGCCAACCACTGTCCTTTCCGAAATGATTAGCAGGTTAGCAATCAGCTGTAATCATTTTTAGCCTGAGTGCACCAACGGTATGCATCTTTCTCAGGAGATGCTGACAATTGAGAGCTCAGAGCCCATCAAATCAACGAGAGCCCATCAAATGATGCAATGAAAACCTCATAATATAATAATAACAAATTGATCATATATAATAAATAATAATAAATAATAATAATAACAAACCATCCATGTACGTATAAAAAATGATTCTCAGAATGTCCGGAGCTCTGAGCAATCCCCCCGAAGAATGGCACTCATTGAGTGGCCTTGGCCCTATGGTGGCTGCCCACCATGTTCGAACCACATCCTTTTCCCAAGCAAAACATTGAGATTATGAGATTCGAGTTTTTACTCTAGAAATTGCTCGTTGTATGATATCTCATCATGGGAAGAAATGTGTTGAGAAACATCTAAATCACATCAGCCTTACGGTCTCCTGTCCAATATCCAAATCATGGCCCAAAATTGCCACCGGTCGAATTGGAGTCAGAACTTTGGTTCCATCGCCACTGCTGCAATCAAGCCTTAGATGGTTGAGCGATAAGACATAGAACCTAGATTTTGAGAAGAAATCCAAAAATGTAGAATCAAGTTCAAAACATGACCCGGTGGTTACTACAAATGGTGATGTCAAGTAACCGAACACGCCAAGCTAGCTTCAGGGTACTCTCGTTGGCCTTCACCTTTGTGATAGACATCCATGACCCAAAGTTCTTCATCGTGATTTGAACTCCAGCCTTGGCATTCCTACCCCTTTTTTTGCCTGACCCTTCCTCCGGGGGATTGTCCATGACGAAGACAAGTGGTTTGACACTCACCCAATCCTCATCCTTCAGTTTGTGATGCGATACCTCCAATTTGGCCTCAGTTGGCGTGTGGACATAAATTGGTGATGTTGGTGATGATGTTTGGTGATGGTAATGTTATTGATGGCGCTGATCATGAGATTATCATGGCTCATCATCAGATCATGAAGCTGCTTCTGATGATGGTAATGGTGGTCATGGCTAAGTACGATTAGGGTGGAACTGATATTACATTGTTAGCGTTACTATTTCGAATTGCTAGATGAGTGGCTTCCCCTGCATCCTGCAGATCGCATACCAGCGACTGAAGGGTCACTGCCACCTCCAAGTTCTCCAACTTGATGTGACTCGGCAGGCCTTTCTTTTCGAGGATCAGCAGAGTGTCCTTCTTTGCGGAGAAACTCATCCATCGTCCCTCGGAATCCTGAAGACATTCTTCTGCTTCCTCAGAGAACGGGCGATGCGGGATGAATACATTGATTGGTGGACTGGAATTTCTGATCGTTTTATTTTATCAATCCGACAAAAAAATGACCGTTTTATAAACACATCTACTTACATTTAATCAAAACATAAATATCAGAAAACCAACTGTCAGGTTTTATTGCAACTTGTTTGCAAGGGTATGGTCTCTGAATTCTACTCTTGGGACTTGGGACGCCTTGGGAATTCGAATAACTAAAGTGGATTGAGTTGGATTTTTCAGGCGGGGCGCACGACCATCGCGCCACTCTCCGCTTCCATAGCTGAACCTTAGCATAAAGTGATTTCATTGAGTGAATGATATATAGTGATATTGTAGTTGGGAAACATCTCTCTGCCCTCGAAGCATTGGTTTCGAGAGCGTGAAGATGCAAACAGTTGATCTCCATGTTGCCCGGCCAAGATCAGATCGAGGCTGTTGTTCACGCTGAATTTTTTCCTTAACTAGCCAGTGACATGTGAGTCATGGGATACCACTTCACGTGGTAAAAAATCATGGCGCACATCTGAAAGTATCAAAATGGACAACTTGAAATCACAAACTGTCATTACATTCTGATCCTGGGTATGTTTTTTTCACCGGATTCCCATGGCCACTATAGCCAAGAATCACATTCCCAAGCTTCGAGATGTCCTGCTCACTGAAGGCTTCGAGCTTGATGCGCTTGCGGGCTGTTCTTCCGCCCTGCTGGCATTTTCAGAGGCCGACACCTCTCTCCTGGCGGGCGTGCTGTGGCAGGATTGTTGATTACTTAGATACCATTTCGATGACCTATGGATACCCTACACATATCCTATAGATACACGATACCCTGCTATAATATATTTTACTGCAAATCAATTGGTCAGATGTTAATACCCTATCCCTTAGATACCATCATCAAAAAATTACAAAGGTTGGACAACTTATAGATCGAGAAGGTTTCATTCCTTTCAGTGAGCAAACAATAGTTCCGCTCCTCTCTTCCAACCAGTATTGTCCATCACAGTTGTAGGTATCATTGTGGTCGGAAATGATCTTCAAAGCACGCTCCCGGGTCGATTCAGTATCCAACCATTTTTGGGCAAGACTTTGCAGCACGACCAAACGATCCATTTGCTGAACAGAGACCCGAAAGGACTTCTGCCGTTCCACTGGTTGGTGCGATTTCAACGCATGGATGATGGGGTTGAAATCCGGAAACCCCGGGAGACTTATGGCACCAGAGCGGCAATGCTCGTACACCTTGTTGGATACTCTGGACATCAAATCAGTCCCTGAGTGGTCTAGGCACAGGGAACCACACACAGCCGCATTGCCTTTGCACATGTCCTGCGGAATATTGTGGAACATGAGGGGTGTTGGTCCCTTTATTGATCATTGATTTCAAATTTTATGGCTCACTGAATGTGATTTAACTGGCAAGCACATAATTGTTGAGGCATTAATCATTAGTTATAAATTATAAGATACCTGCTCTTTGAAGCACTAAGACTACCTACAGGGTAGTGATATTGCTTGTTGGCAATGATTCTGGCATAATCTACGATACCGATGCTGACATAATCTACGATACCGGTGATAGTAATCTGGTAGGTTTCTGGAGGTTGGCGTCACCATCATCATCACCATCAATGTGTGTGTGACTTATATTGAACGTTTGGGGCATGTTTAAGTGAAACCATGTCCTCCACACAGGCCAAAGCTGCAAAGCCATCGTAGGCATTCAAATCAAGCATGATTTTTGCTTTGATGGTTGGGACATGCATAGCCTCCACCACTTTCTGGATGAAGTCAGTGCCACCTGCAACCTCATGATGTGCGGAAAATATATTTTTATGGGGGAAGAACATTCTTTGTTCACTTTCACATCCAGAAATTGGATTCTCATCAATTCTCATCACGGCCCAATAAAGACCCAGTCGCTTGCTTCATTTCCTGGATGTCTGTGAAAGCGCGCCCCAAATGAGGCAAAGTGGAAGATCCCCTTTGCGGAGAAACCTCATGAGGCAGCAGCACGGGGAAGTCTAAGTGGTTTGAAGGATCAAAGGCAACTTTACTTACTAACTTGGGAACTTTGATTTCATACAAGAAACTGACTCAGGCTTCACCATGTTGGATCTTGCCAACATCTCGATCCCATGCACCACCCCGGTTTTGAAGGCTTTGGTTTGCCGGAATATGTTTTTGCTGTTGCCCGAAAGGATCATGAGCCCGCTCAGAGCGCCTTCCCTTTTTCCGTACACACTTGCCTGGGCATGGGCTGTTATTCTGGGTCAACTCAACATTGGGTTGGTGAAGTGCACCCAAGTGAGATGTTGTTGACTCAACATTACTTGCTAAGTCCACGGCTGGGTCAAAAACAAAGGTCAGGTTTTTGACTTTCAGATTGCGATCTCTCATCCGAAAGTTGGTCCTGGGTATCAAGTAGCACACGCATATGGGAAAACATTTTGATCGATTGACTTACCGGCAGTTTTCCTATTGACTGATCATTGATTGACCCAGTGGTTTACAGCTTATTGATTCATTAGTTGTCTGACAAAAGGTACATGCATTGAATTGATATAAATTGATCGATTACGACCAACAGTTGATAACCATTACCACACCATTGTCTCGTTTGAGAAACTGATCGATTGATAGGTTGACAGACTGATTGATTGTAGTATAAGTTATTATGGATAATAATTATTCGGTGGTTGATAATTAGCCACTTATCAAAGCATGAAATCCAACCAGCCCACAAACTTAATCAACCAATAATCAGTCATTTGTCAACCACCCAAACCATTAATCAATAATCAATCAATCAGTTGATGCAAAAAGAGGATGCCGGTAAAACTGAGAACCTTCAAGGTTTCCTAATGTGAGGCCAGTGTCTCCAGATTGAACCTGACCTTCCTCACCATGTCTTCCAAGTCAGCATGAGCGTTTTTGCGTTCATCATCACCATCACTTTCATCCGTCTCATCTTCTCCCTGGTCCTCCTTCACTTTGACCTTCGCTTCATCATCACTGGCGTCCTCTTTCTTGGCGCCAGGTTTCCTGGCGATGAAGGATGATGAAGGCAAGACAAGCCAGGGGATGGATGGAGGGGACGGTGTGGTCCCTGAATGAATATGTAAGTTGAGGATCAATTTCATACACTGTTTTTTTGGAAAATAATTTCTTTCGATGAATCAGAAGATAAGTATTTACATCAATTTTCAAACATGATTTTTTGACATGCAGCTTGGTATATTTTGTATACAAGAAGACAGATTTGTTGTCTCATTATTTGTTGGATCGTCCGATAACCCCTAACCCCCTGCCTTCCCTCTTGCTGGCTGGCCCGGTTGGGGTGGATCAAAATGCAGGCTGAGTTAAGGGGAAAATCCGCCAGAACGTTGCTAATGTAGTTGAGGAGGAAAGAACTCCGAGATGCACTGATAACACCCATTGATGGACAGTTGCACCACAAAAGGATTCCATGATCATCAGGGTGATTTCCATGTTCAAGGGCCATGTCCCGGATCCACGATCTGCTGGTGGGCATAACTGTGCTTTCAGCATCATTTGTTTTCCCAACAAAGAGTGCCAGGGACTCTTTCAAGTAATTGGATACCGCATCCCAGGATCTCTTGTGGCAGTCCTGGGAAACAGTGAATATTCAGATCAACTAGTTGGGTTGTTATGGTTCAGTAGATATTATCATGGGTTTAACATTCCAAGATGAACTACCTTTTGTATACAATTTAACATGTATATGTATACCTGGAACCATTTTTTTGAGTTTCTGGTTTGGGTGCGTCTCGGCCCAAAAGACCAAAAACATAGTTAACAACAAAGTGCTCAAAGCAGTTGGGTTGAACAAACCGCATAGTTCACAATATGATTGAATGGATTCCCGTTGGTAAAACTGGTAAAAAAAACAATGATTTTTGATTCAAATTAGAACCTTGCTGGGTCACCTTGCCTCGAGTTGACTGACCAACTTTGCACGGGCTTTCGCACCTTCTTTTTCCATCCTGGGATGGTAATATGTGGAACCAAAACCATATATAGAAATTACAAGTTGATATAATTTGGGTCTCATGGATTATGGTAAATACAAAATAATAACAAACTACAATGGGTTGTCAAAAAACTGATGGCCCTAAAAAAAGACCCCCACAAGTCCCCCTGGCCCCTTCTATTTAGCAATTAATCTTTGATACTTGTGGGGGTCTTTTTTGGGGGCCAAACCAAAAAGGAAAATTGACAATGCGAAACGAGTAGTCTAGCGTCGAAACCTTTTCACTACAGAACTGAGCTTGGTCGGCCTTCAGTTCTTCCCCCCAAGCCACGAAACTAGCCTCCATGGCCTTTGACAACGCATTCTTTGACTTGTCCTGGTGAGCAGCCACATAGGTGTCCATCGTCCGACCGGTGGCCTGAGCGTGCCGGTGTGACTTGGCAGATCATGTGATTTACAGTGGGCAATCAATATCGGGAATTACTAATCATAGAACCATAGATAAGATATCATGGATATTCATAGGCTCAAAAACTAAATGATAGGTTGATGGTTTCATGTTTCCAAAAAGCAAAGTCCATCCAAAACTACATTGACCAGCAGGTGCAAGGTAAGGCATGATAACCACTGTACATGAAGTGTTTGCATGTTTATTGCGCTTAATAAAGACCCATGCGTGATAAAAATCTGATTATATTTTATTCAATAACAAATTTAACATATGATACGTGATACACACATTCGCATTAACAATCACAAATGTAAACCCTAGCAGCCACTCCACAACAATCCACGCATAAAATGCCAAGATACTTCCAAGGCGAAAGGCACCCGGCTCCAATCGAACTCTTCACCACTTTTCATCAGGGACCCAAGGTCGCTGTCGAGGTGCCTCAGTAATCTATGTTGGGAGATGAATTTAATTTTATTTCGAAACCATAGGATATCAATCAACATTGGGAACAAATTTACTATGTCAAATTGCGACGCGGTTTCTAGAAACCACATCACAAAAACAATGAAAAAATAGATATCAATCAACTACCACAGCTCAAAACCAGAGGGAGAGCAATCATTGCATATTGGTTTTACCTTGGAATTGTGACGTGGTTTCTAGAAACCACATCACATTTGAAGCTGATTTTTTGGAACAAAAATGTGATTGGCCAAATGGGTTTGGCTAGGTGTTACGTGGTTTCCAGAAACCACATGATGACCAGCCAAATGCATTTGGCAACAAATCACCGCCAGCCAAACGCACTTGGCAATGAGTCATGCCAAAACACATACTAACATATCTTGACTAAAATATATCATTCTTGATTATAAAATAAACCATTTATGTCTAATAAAGAATGGTTCATTACATGATTTGCCTTAACCACCACTGTGAACAATAAATGATAAGAAAATAAAGTGAAGGCAAACACATTCTTTGTCCAAGTACCCGTCCATGAAAAGTTCATCATGTTTGTCCACGACATCTCCAGCGAACGTAGTTTCCATGTGTGAGCGTACCCAAAGCCAGCAACAAGTGATGTCATGGAGTTGCAGGTGCTCTTCTTCAGTGTATTGGGCCAGCTTCTGTTCAGGGTTTGGGTTTGAATGTGGGTTGGATTCCCCAAAACAACAACAGAAAGAAAGGATGATAAACAACCAAACTATTCAATAACCAATAGATGTGTTTTTGGCCACATGCAGTCCTTGGATTTCGCAATTGCATTCTTTGCAACTTTCTTGCAAAAGTCCTTGGCATCACGCGCCCTGAAAACAAGCCAAACAGGGGGCCACTATCCCTTAACAAAACCTGACCACTACAATCCACTACATAAAGGTCCACATGAATACCAAAGCATAAATCAATAACTAACAAGGCTCATTGGTCACTCGCTGGAAGTAAATCATGCAGGTCTTGCTGGTTGTCGTCAAAATTTCTTGGAATGTTGACTTTCCCCGAAACCGATCCAACTCCTGCCGGACACTAGAGCCTGGCACCCAATAATCCTGCGTCAACACCTCGTGCGGCACACCTTGCCAGGGCAAGGACTGAGTGAATATAGACATGGTGGATGGTTGCCCCCACGAATTCAAAATCAAACCATGAAACTTCTTGTTCAAAACAACCACGCCTGAGTTTTCGTGTTTGTGCAAATCATAGTGAGCATGCAGCAAATCGAACAATGCAGCTGGTGCCCGGAGCCTAACTGATGACAGTCAAGAGTCAAAAAAAGGATGTACAAACCAGAACAACAAGTAGATAATAACCAGCAATTAGAAAATATAATAGAGAACTGAAAACCAAGGAACAGATTGTACACCATGGACCGCCGAGTGGACTCTATGCGGTGTTTTTTGTTGGTGCAAAGTTGGTTGTATTTTGCCACTGTTTTTCCAAGCATGTCTTTGAGTGGAGTCTTTGGCCCCCCATGTCCTGCAGCTCTTTCAGCAAGGATAGCCTGGTTCAGGTCTGCCGCAATGTTGATAGGGCTCGGTGTTTGCTTCTCTGCAGTGACATAGCCCAGTTCTTAGTCAAGACATGTTAAGATCACTTGAACGATCTTGAGCGCCAAAACCATAGAAACAATTTTAATGACGGGGGATGGAGCACAACTGAACAATTCAAAAAATACCAACATTTCAAGGTAAGTTTCTCAACGATTGCAAAAAGTACTGTGATGGGCTACCATAATGCTCATAGCTACAGCGGATGGATCCAAAACTGGAAAGGACCTTCTGCAGATTGGAGTCCTGCAACTCATTCTCCCCAAATTCCAATTCAGCGCAGAAGCCAACTATGGCCATCATTATGAGGCATTTACATTGCCCATCTACGTAGCCAACTTGGAAATTTCCGAGTGAACGATCTCCCGACTGGTTGTTGAACTTCACGCTCACTGATTCCATAGGCTTGTAACCATAAGCCAGAAATTCGCCAAAGTGAGCTTGAAATTGGCAGTTCGAAGGATAAACTGCAGGGTCGTCAAAAAAACATAGGTTTTATCGTAATAAGCGAGGCTAGCCCAGAATTAAACAAACATCCTTAAAATCACAAACCGTTTATTTTATTTGGCAACCCCGACATCCGTTTTTCCCATTAGCTGAGAAATCAAACTTCTCCAGTCCCAAGTAGAAGTCATCCAGGCTAGAGATCGGCATGATGTTGGCATGAGGCTTCCCTGCAATGGGCCCAAACCTGTCACTCACATAGAACTTGATAGCCTTGCAGGGAGAAAGAGGTTTATGGTGTATGGAAGCTTGAAATTAGCTAGGCTTGAAATTAACCAGGCGTGTTTAGTTAATTTGAGAACAGTTCTTGGTTTTTTGTGCGTATAAATGATGATGGGCCAAGCCTGTTCCATGCGGGAATGATCAGCAAAGACTGCAAAGAGATGATCGCCAAGGTTCTTGTCCGCAACCACCTCAAATGAGTGTGATAAAGCCAAGTTTGGTTTTTGATCACCACAACCACTAAAAAACAAACACACACACAATATTTACCAACCATCCATTAAGCCCAGAAACAGTACTAAAGTAGGTTTGTAGCTGCTGGATGGGATCATCTCTGGGAGCTTTGGGTGTTGGCGAGTCCATGGCCAACAAAAAAAAAGCGAAAACCGCCCAAAAGTCAAAAAGGCGAAAACCGCCCAAAAGTCAAACCCTTGAACAAGAAACAACAGATAATGAACAATAGCCAAGTTCAAAATTGCACATTAGAGCGCAATACCATCAGGCTGTCAAGCAAACATTGATGAATTAGGCTTAGCTTGCAAAATGGTCAAATCAATTTTCACACCACCCCATGATCTCACAACGCACGACGGTGAAACCTAACCTGCAAATTATGGGGCTGAACCCGTGGAGGCAAATCCCCCAATTGAAAGTCATGGATACTTGGCCCATCATCAGGCACATTCCGTAGGAAGGTCAAAGTGGGGTAGCGTTCGGAGCTTTGTGTAGGATCCCTATCCAGCAGTGATTGGTACCAAGCAATGGCGCGATTCATATCAGGGAAATCTCGCTTCATAGCCATCATCAAGCATCGTATCTCATCCCTTCGGGCATCATCAAACTTGGGAGTCTCAAGGAGGGATGTAGAATTAGCCACCTGAAGTAGCCGATCCGATTGTCCCTGCAAGATACCAGGCCAAACCAACAGCGGGTCCTGAGAAAGCTTGTCGTCAGACATCTCGGCCTTCACCAAACAAAAGACGTCCTTACGCCAGACAGCAGTTTGAGCATCCGATCTCCAGCTTCGCGGCGCGCGTTCGCAAAGATCAATTGTGCTCGGTAGGCCTAAGGTTCGGGAAGCGGCAAGGGAATTTGGAACACAATTGAAATTGATTAACTTTGTTACTCAAATCTTAAGAATGAAGATAAGCCACTGGATCTCTTCGCAAAAATGAAAGATCCCGGTACCGGCACAGGTGTTTCCCCAGAATCCTTGATCTTTCGAATTTTGAAGGCTTTCTCAAACGTCACATGGTCTGGAGCAATGGAGCTCCAATCTCGTACCTGGTTTGTTTTGATAAATCAGGTGGTTATAAAATATTTAAACTTGATTATTCAATCAATAATTAATTGTCAATCAATCATTCAATCAAACAATGATAAGCTAGCGCCCACTATGAACAAGATAGTTGCAGAAATTCACATCAAACGTTGAACAAGTTCCATAATAAAAACAGTAACAATCCTGGGTGAAAGTGAGCTTTAACACCCCAAAAAGTGAAACACGTTATCCAATGATCAGGTACTAAATAAGTAATGTATGGTCAAGTATTGCCCACCCAAAAGGAAAACAAAACCAAAACAAATCTGGGTACATCAAACATCATCAAACCATCAACCAGATACAGCCCCCACGATTTCCACTTGCAAATCGACACCACGAGCTTGGAACACTGGAAACAGTTTGCTCCGCAATCGATTTGCAACATCTTGGGGCGTGTGGATGATAGGACATGTATCCATGGCGCTTTTGCACAAAGACAGCACACCATCCACATCTTCGTGGGTGTGGCCGACCCCCAAGTGGTTTACACTGGAGGTCGACCACACCCCTGCCTGTGTAAGAGAAGATAATATGCGGTGGGTGTAGGTATTCCGGATCTCTTTCACCGTATTATCTGATTGCAGCCAGAACCTTGTATTGAAGACCCCTGCATGATAAATGATCTAGGACTCGCCTAGTTTTTTTTTAAAATCACACCAAGCCCAGCAAAATGCAAGCAACAAGGGCTACATCAAACCAAGCAAAGTTACTCCAAAGGCCATGGTTCATTTCGAGCCCTTGTCCGAACAAAGACTTTCTCCAAAGACCGCATTACCTCGGATACAAGATTAATCTCAAGTATCCCCAAACACAATTTGAAAAATTAGTGAAAAAAAACAATTGTTTAAAGAAAAAATACCATGAATTAGCGTATGAGGTACACACTCCCACTGCCAGTTGGAACCAGCACTCATCCCCTCGTCAACGAGGTACAAGTAGCATCCATGGCCATGCATAATGCAAGCTGTGAGGGTCAGATGCACTCCTTAGTTCAGCCATGGAGAGCCATGGAGAGCCAACTAAATCTAGCGCCAGCAAATACCCAAAAAAACGACCGCCTAAAGCAATATAGGATTGAATAACCCCCCAAAAAATGAAAACGTTCGCAAAATTTAAGTGATACCTTCACATGAGAAAAGTTTCGCTTCGTCGCTTCATAGATAGTTCTTTTGGGAGTTCTTTTCCATGGCCATTGTGGCAACTGAAGTTTGCTCTTGTCATAAGAATCAATGATGCAAACCAAAAGGTCTCGTTGGATTTGTGATCGAGTGCGTGCGGTCCAGTAACTTTTCCTATTCTTCCATTGCAAATGGTAATGACCAAGCAACTGGCTGCAGAGCTCCGCATGTTTCTTGAAGTCCTCGGGTTGAGCGAGTACCCAGTCCGGTTGAATCTTAGTGGGTTTATAAGTGATGAAAAATACGACGTGTTTTTAAGTTATTTTAAGTTTACCACCCCTAAAATAGCAACAAGTAAAATTTGATCGCGCATAGGCAAGGTTCCTTGCACTTCTGAATCTGGTTCTTGAGGTTACTGCACTCAAAACACATAGCGTGATCTGATTTTCGTCTAAATCTCAAGCAGGGCCTCCAAGTCTTTGCTACAGCAAAAAAAGTTGATTTGGATGCTGGCGATCCCTCATTGGAAGAGCTCCGCATGAACGCTAGATACATCAAAAACAATGATGATGTATTCCCTGGGGGGAGCTCCCTGATCGGCAGTGATGAGATATCACTTTCCAGTAGGATTTCACGGGTCGGTCCCAGGAGCTGTCTGTCAACTAACTTCCTCAGAAGTTCTTCGCGGAGGCCAGCATCCGATGTGGTATTTGTGGAAGTCTCTGCCGATTCAAACCTTGGGTATCTAAAACGGATGGAAATAAACAATGTACTTTGAAGGGGCGCCTAAGTCTTTCATCTCCTGTATTGCAACAAGAATGCTTAGAAGTAAAAGTAGAAAATTCAGATGTTTTTTAGCAGGGAAACCGAGTCGGCATGCTTTCAGCAGCCGTCCAGTAAAGGTGCATGAAGAAACTCATTACAGAAGCTGTTTGCACTGCTGGATGCGCTGTAGCTCCTGACATGTGTTTTCCAAGCAAAGTATCATCATAGATTATCAGAACCTTTGGTTTACACCATAACAGGTCATCCAGTAAACCATACTTTAGGGAGAAGTATCGACATAAAAACCAACTAGAAAAACATGTTTTAATAAGTAGTTAAAATCAAGGGTCCCTGGTTGATGTTTCTTTGATCTTCTCCCCGAAAGCTACGCTTGGTCCGTAAAAGCCGCTGCTTCCCAATGCCCAAAAATCTGAGCCACGATTCCCGGCATAGCTGATGTCCTGGGCGCAGAGCAGGCAGACAAAGGTTCAGAGGTTCGACTTATATTTTATAAGAATTAATTACCATTATCATATCATCTGATGATGATTAATTATGATTATGATGATGATGGCAAGCCTAAGCAAGAAATGTTTCAGGTCATAGCTTATCACATGATATATGGCATTGTTGTTGGCTTCTATTTGCAGGGGATAATTGTAATTTCGAAACATATCAAACACTTCAACCATATTTCAACTACCCCATCCTTCGATCGACCAAACGCTCTTGCGACCGCTGCCGCATTGCAGGGACCATAGTAGGGCGTCTTGAGCAGATTTGGGTAAACTCCAAAACAGTGTACAAGCTTTGACCAATAGACCGCTAGGCATCCTGCATTGACATTGACATTGGGGTTCAGCTAGCAGTTTCTTGATCCGTTCAGGGTTTGCCCCGTTCTCAGCAAAGCAGGAGGCATCCCCCTCTCCGCCAGTCAAGGCTTCCAAATTTGCCAGCTTCAGGTTCACCTCATAGGAAGCCCCAGCACCCGATGTATCATCTGCTGATTCATCATCATCCCTTAGATGGCAAAATGAAAACAGTGTTGGCTGGAGATGGGTTTTATATTTCCGCTAAAGAATACCAATACCAATCTTTGGTAAAACATAATGTTGGTGATTGAATCTAATATATCATCATGGGGCCCTTTAGGAGTAAATGAATTTTCTTAACAATTGATTACGAAACACATCAACCTAGGTACTCTGAACCCGACGAAGCATTGGGATTTCCTTCTGAAGACTCATCCTCGTAGCGCCATACCCCAGCGCGCTTCTGAACAACAGGCTGAGCTTGGAAATCATCGGCATCGTCATCCCATCGGCCGAGGACTGGCATATGTACTTTGTTGGGTGCTTTGATGTGGTTTACTAACCTGATGGAGAGGTGGAGAATGGTTATCATTATTGGAAAATGGTTATCATGGCCGAATTTGCTTCTGGTTTCAAGTAAGGGGCAACATATCACATCCTGATTTTTAGTGCACTTGAAGCTTAAAATCAAGGTAACCCATTCATGCTGCATACTTGATAAGAATTATGCGTTACTGATCACTTGGAGCCATTGATTGGGCGAGAGTAGCCCATTGCCATGCTAACCGATTAACAAAGCATTGAATTTGAATTTGCCAATCAACACATCCATTTTTCCTCGACGATAGATTGGTCGAGCTGTCGAGCATCCCCCCTTTTCCTTAAAATTGGATCTCAAGGCCTTTGGCTGGTAGATCCCTATTTTTTCTTGGAGGTCACCAAGTACCTGCGGGTTTTCCCCTGGTGCAAAGCCATTAAACCAGCAATCAGCACTGCAAAAAGGCAGCGCATAGACATTCCATTGCCGGCCAACTTCATCATCTCCTTAGTTAGTATCCAAATCATTCCACTAGTTAGAGTTTAGTTTTGGTATACTATCTCGCGCTCAACCTTTCATTGATCCCGCATAAACGGTTTGTTTAATTTGTGACAGGGCACTCTGTTGCTGAAGCTTGATATCTTGACCTCATCCAGCGGCACCCCCTGCATCAAGAGCGCCTCCATGCCTGAGCTGCGCAGGACTTAAAGTCTGAGAAGCCTGGGTTTCACCATCGGCCTGGCCTGTGAGGAACCGCTGCTGCGTAGGCATGAAGATCGATGCCTGTGGCCTAGAGCGGGCATAGACATGATTCATGCGTTTAAGTCATATTCTGGTTTCAACTTGACATAAGTTCTGAGAAATTGACGTCAAGCACATCATGGGTTCGAAGGGCTTATCCAGTACCAAACTCATGCGGCCAATGCTTTGGGAAACATTGGCAGCTCGAACGTTGCCATGATAGAACTTCAGCACCTTGTCCAAAGCCTTAGATTAAAAAAGTTGTTACTTGGTTTTGTGAACTAAAGGGCAACAGTTAGTTGATTACATTGCCAAGATTGGCCAAGCAGCATCAGCTTCTCGCAGGTTGTAGATCTGCTTGGCGCCCTCTGGGAACTGTTTCTTTAAGTAGCCAGCCGAACGCCTCACCTGGTTCCGTGTTCAGGGATTTGGGTAGTAACTTGTTTGGATTTGGGCAATGGTTAGTCATAATCATAGTGAATCATCATATGTTGAAGGCCTTGTGCT